CCCCATTTTTCGTGGTGAGACGTGTACTACACTTTTCAGCGTATTTATTAGTACAACAAGGAGGGGGGTAAACACCGGGGTTTTTTTCTTCTTTTTATTTCTTTTCATGCCCCACCTTCCTCCTGCGGTGCATGCTGATTTGTTTTTTTGGGTCGCGAGAAGGGTCCAGCCGTCCCTTTCCCTCGTCAACGGTGCTAGCGTCGAAGTTTGGTACTCACGAGAGCTTTTTAGCTACATCGTAATTTTTTCACCCCATGGGGATTCGAACTCACGACCTCTGCGACTAGCGGATTACGAGGATACCACCCACCAATTGAAAAACTGACAGAAACACGCATATGTCCTGTCCACAGGTGTGTGCTGAACCGCACGAGCCGGTTCTCCTCTCGCTCTCTAATATCAAGTCAATACAAGATTTGGCGCCGTCGACCGGAAAATCGGGAAAATATAGTTTTTGTGATTTTTCTTTAAACAGCCTGCCCACGCGCATACACCAAAAAGGGGGATCAGGCGCAGGGCGAGCTGTTTGTTGTTGTTGGCAAGGTGTCCACGTGGCCCGGTACAGATGTCAAGAGGCACTGAGCGGGGAGACCTTGACAGCATTTTTTTTTGAAGACATCGACGGCGATGACGACGACGCAGCACCAATCATGACGACAAGATGAATATTAATATTGTCTTCTTTCGTTTGCCTTCCCTTTCATGGCGTCTTCGTCCCCTCCCTCCGCCGTTCGCTCGATGACCATGGGTGCACGCACGGGCGCTTCATGTATGTGGTTGCTCTTGCGCTTTTTTTTTTCTGTAGGGGTGCGGAACCGGTCTGTCGATGTACATGGTGCAGACGGCATGGCCGCAGGCCGACCTTGTGGGGGTGGACATGTCCACGTATAAGCTGGCGATCTCTCAGGCGAAGCTCGAGAAGAAGCCAGAGAGCATGCAATCTAAGGTGACTGACTCGTAAATGAAAGTTGCCGAATGTTGTTGTTTGTGGCGCTCGATGAAGAGGGCAGCCGCTGTCGTTGTTCGTCGTTCTCGGAACGGTTCTTGGAATGGTTCTGACCTTGACGCGTACGACGATGTCCACGATAGTTCTCATTCCCTCCGTGCAACGTCCGGACGGTGGGACACGTTCCTTTCGACGCTATGCGAACTGTGAAGACCAACAAGACGAAATGACTCTGTATACGCCCTGCTCATGTCGCAAGGTGCTGTGTTTTTCTTTGTTGCACGGGCGAAGCATGTTCCACCTCGCCGGCGCCGTAGTCCTGACGTCACTTCCCGTACTGTTGGCTGCGTCTTGTCGCTGCTCGTTTTTTGCTGTCTGACTGACGTCACCCTTGCTGTGGCTTGTTGCCGCGTTTGCGCTTGCGCGTTCCTTGTGTGGGCAAAGGTTACCCTCCGACATGCACCAGCGGAGGAAACCGGCGAGCCTTCGAACAAGTTCGACCTCGCAACCATCTGCCTCGTCAACCACGAGTCACCCGAGTGGGTCTCGAAGGCGATGTTCCGGGAGGCACACAGGGTCCTCCGACCTGGCGGGGTGTTCACCATCCTCGATCTCGACAAGAATAACCTAGCCATCTTGCTCGAGAACCCCTTCGTGGCGGCGGTTTACAAGCAGGTGTGTTGGTGTGGGGTGTGTTTTTTGCGCGTTATTTGGCGCAAGGGTAGAAACGCTGCGGTTTTCACGGTGGGTGTGTGGGTGCGTGGTTTTCGTCGTGGTTTGTGCTGTGTGCGTGCGCAAGTGTATAATAGATGAAGGTTGACTGTACGAACGCGTCGGCGGTGTTGAAGCAGCTGTGTTGTGTGGTTTCGGGTGTGTTCATTCTTAGTTTGTTCTGTGCGCTGCCGCAATGGTAAGATCTATTGCATCTGCTGGGGTGTATGTACCTTGATGGAAGAAATGGCAGGGAGGATGTTGCGCGCTTGATTTCGGTAAGTGGCTGTGGTCGGGGTGAGCCCCGCCCAAGACAGACTGAGCGGGAGAGGAAAGTACTGAAGTTGTGTGCATGTACACGTGCATAGCCATACATGCCAGAGTACATGAACCTCACCCAACCCTTCTTGTTTTTTACCCCCTGTTCGTTCACCCTCGTCAGACCGAGCCCTACATGCCAGAGTACATGAACCTCGACATGAACTCCGCCCTCGAGGAGGTGGGGTTCGAGCTCTTAGAAGTGAGGAACACCTCGCCATCCCACATCGCCATCGTTGCAAGAAAGGTGTAAAGTAAAGCCAACTAGTTTCGGGGGGTATACTCTACCGCAGCGTGCGTGCGGGCTTGAATCTCGAACGAATCCAGCGGAAACCAGACAATTTTCTTTCGGGTCGGGCTACCTTTGCCTTGTGGTCCGACCAGTGCGGCCTATAGGCGACATGTGAAGCAGGCGGTTGATCGTTTATTAGACTTACAACGCGGGCGTGGCCGGCGGTTTGTGTGTTCCCAAGCCGCGAGG